GCTGCCTTCCTTTTTGGTTGTGCTGTCCAGATTCTCCTCTTCCACGGCTGAGGACACCTTTGGTTCCCTCGAGGTCTGGGCCACAGAGTTGAGGGCCCTGCTCACCCTTGGCCCAACTGCCATTATCCAGCAACGCCAGGCTGGGGGGGAGGGGTGTGTCTGGCTTCTGTTCCACCCTGCTTCTAGAAACCTGACGCCTTCCCAGGACCCAGACGCAGCCAAGGGCGCAGAGCTCCTCGGGACCAGCAGCTTGAGCGCTCCCGCCCTGTGCGCGGGCCCCGGGCGCGGGCGACCCCGCGCGGGCTGGGGTCCTCCTCTCCCGCCGCCACGCACCCAGCCCTCGCCCCCATTTTGTTTGGTCAGAGAATGCTTTTGATATGGGTCTTCTTTGGAGTTCAAATAGAACGTTAAAATGATTCTATATCTGTGAAGAAATGCTGATGGGATTTAATATAATAACATTGAACTGTAGATCATGTTGGTAGCTATAGGACATTTTGATATGTTGAGTCTGCCGATCCCACAGCATGAAGATTTCATCTGTTTACCATTCCTCTGCTATTTCCTTCCTGCAGGTTTTCATAGTTCCCAGCCGTAAAGGTCTTTACCCCTTGGTAAGTAAATATCCTACGTAACTTTAATTTCTTTGTTGCATTAGAATGGGAATTGATCTCTATTTGGTTCTCAATTTGATTGTTGTTGGCGCTATATAATGCCCTATTCTGGTATTTGATTGTACCTGAGGACTTTACTAAATTCATTTATCAGTTCCAAGGAGTTCCCCCTTGATGAATCTTTCTGGGGTTTTTAGAATAATCCCCCACACACACTGTGGTACTTGATCCACTTCCTGTCGATGCTGGTAGCCAGGACTCCAGCACTCAGTTGAACAGAATGGAGATAAGTGGGCAAGGCCTGCTGGTTCCAGTTCTAAGGGAAGCTTCAATTTTTCCCCATTCAGAATGTTTGGCGCCAAGGTCTGTCCATTAATATGGGGATCATTTTAGGGTATGGTCCTTCAACCATTTTCTTAAGTTCGTATCATAGGGGTTGATTTTCAAAAGCTTTTCTGCATCGAGTCGAAAGAATCATGTTGGTGTTTGTTGCTTCTGTTATGTTAATTGCATATAGATTTACTAGAACCATCCCGCACCCTGGAATGAAGCCCACTTGGTCCGTGATGGATCATTTTTTTTATAAGCGTTCGAGTCCCAGGGTAGCTAAGATGTCTGAAAATTTGCCATCTATATTCATTAGGGCAGATGGTGAGGTTTCTTTTTGTTGCATCACTCTGGTTTGGTACAGAGTAATATTGCCTTCATAAAAGGTGTCAGAGGTTCCCTTCTCTTGATGTTGTGGAATAGTCTGCAAGATAGGTACAGTTCTTCTTTGAAGTGTGGTAAAATCGCGTGGAAACCATCTGGACTAGGCGACTTTCTTTTGGAGATTTTAAGCTGTTTCACTATTTCACTCTTGAGATTGTCTGTCAGGAATCAATTCCCCTGGTTGAGCCTAAGGGAGGCTGTGAGTTCTAGAAAATGTCCATTTACTCAACATTTCCCAGTTGGGGCATAAAGATTTTTGTAGTATTCAGTAAATTATATCTGTATCTATTTGGACTCAGTTGTGATATCTCCTTTTTTGTGTCCTGACTGGAGCTTATTGAGAGAATTCCTCTTTTGGCTTTTGAATTAGCATTAGCCAATGCGCTTATTTATTGTTCATCTTTGTTCCAAGAACCGACTTTTTGTTTTATTAAATCTCCTGAATATTTTCCTGTTTTCATATTTCGTTAAGTTCTGATTTGATCTTGTGATTCACTTCTTCGTGGTTGTGGCTGGTCTGTTCTTCTTTTTCCAGCTGCTGTTGAGTCGTTTCATTAGATTGGTCTTACTTGTGATCTTTTTGACTTTTGGCATTTAGGAGATAAACTTTGCCTCCTCAGAAGCGCTGTAGCTGTGTCCCAGAGGATTTGGATAACTTGTCTCCTCACACCTGTCATTTCTCATAGAAATTTTTATTGCCATTGATCTTTCATTAATGAAGTGAATCATTATAGCGAGTTGTTTAATTTCCACGTTTTTGTGTAGAAATGTGAGTTTCTGTTAGGGTTGATTTCTACTTTTATTCCACTGTGTTCTGAGAAGATACATGGCATGATTTCTATTTTTTTAAATTTCTTGAGGTTTACTTTGTGTCTAGGATATGGTCAATCTTAGAGAATGTCCCATGAGCTGATGAGAAGAATGTATATTCAGTGGATTTTGGGTAGAATGCCCTCTAAATGTCAGTCAGACCCAATTGTTCTAGAGTTTTGTTTAAGTCCATTATTTCTTTATTAATTTTCTGTTTGGAGGATCTGTCTTGTGTCGTCAGTGGGGTGTTGAAATCTCCGGTGATTATGGAGTTGCTATTAATCAATTTGCCGTCAGTGGGGTGTTGAAATCTCCGGTGATTATGGAGTTGCTATTAATCAATTTGCTTAGATCCAGTAAGTTTACTTTATGAATCTGGGTGCTCCGAAGTTGGGTGCATATATATTTACAATTGTTATCTCTTCTTGTTGAACTATGCCCTTCACCATTATATAATGACCCTCTTTGTCTTTCACTACTTTTGTTGGATTAGAAACTAAAACGTCTGAAATTAGAACTGCCACACCAGCCTTTTTTTGGCTTCCACTTGCTTGGAATACTGATCTCCACCCTTTTACTTATAGTCTATATGCATCCTTACAGGTTAGATGTGTTTCCTGAAGACAGCATATACTTGGCCTGTATTTTCTTATCCATTCAGCCAGCCTATGTCTTTTGAGTGAAGAGTTTAAGCCATTCACAGTTATTGAGAGAACTGATAGGTAAGGTAGATTACTGTTCATTCTGTTGGGTTGGATGTTGTTGCTTTGATTTCTCTCTTGAGCCATTGTAATATCTGGCCTTTAATCTTGGGGTTTGGGTTGTTTTTATATTCGTGAGTTTTTATTATGGTGTTCCGTGCATAACACTGTTTTGAGTACTTCTTGTAGGGCTGGTCTTGTCTTGGTGAATTCTCTGAGACTTTGCTTATCTGAGAATGACTTAATTTCTCCTTCATATATGAAGCTTAGTTTTGCAGGGAATAAGATTCTAGGCTGGGCATTGTTTTATTTCAGAAGAGTGAGAATGGGGCCCCAGTCTCTCCTTGCTTGTAAAGTCTCAGTAGAGAAGTCTGGTGTTATTCGAATTGGCTTTCCCTTGTATGTCACTTGCTTCTTTCGTCTTACAGCTCTTAGAAGGGCCTCTTTTGTTGATATTTTGGTCAGGCTGATGACTGCATGTCGTAACGTTTTCCTGTTTGCATTTAATCTCCCAGGGGTCCTCTGAGCTTCTTGAACTTGTATATCAAGATTTTGAGCAAGGCCTGGGAAATTTTCCTCTATTATATTTTCAAATAGCTTGTCCAACCCTTGAGTGTTATCTTCTTCCCCTTCTGGTAACCCTATGACCCTCACATTAGGATTCTTCACATAATCCGACATTTCTTGTAGGCTTTGCTCTTTTCTCTTGTTTCTCTGCTCTATCTCTGCAACTGATTTATTTAGTTGGAGGGTGTTATCTTCAATCTGTGAGATTCTTTCTTCTGTTTGATCTACCCTGTTCTTGAGACTTTCCACTGTATTTTGTAGTTCCCTGAATTGATTCTTCATTTCTAGGAGTTTGGTTAAACTTTTCTTCATTGTGTCGATTTCTTTAGTGAACTTTTGTTCCAGATCCTGGAGGCTTTTTGTGGTTTCCTTGTGTTGGTTATTGAGTTGTTCTTGCAGGTTGTTGAATTTTCTTATGATCCACATTCGAAATTCCTCTTCTGTCATTTTGGTTGCCTGATTTTGGTTGGTGTCTGTTTCCAGGGGGCTGGTTCTCCTCTTTGGGGGTGTGTTTTCCATTTGGTTCTTCATATTTCCGGAGTTCCTTCACTGATTTCTTCCCATGTCAATCAGTTGTTGTTTCTTTCCTTTAGGTTTTTGTTTGGGTATTCACATGCCTTGTTTAGTTTCTGAGCCAGTAGGGGGTGTCTGTGGGTGAGATTTGACTACTCCCTGTATAATGAGTCAGTAGGTGCCATGAAAAGGGTGTGCAGGATGCCCTCCCTATCAGTAGTTGGCAGTTGCTTGGAGGAACAGGCTACACTGTTGTTTTTGTGTCCTCTTATCAGCTCTTGTTCCTGTAGAGAGGGGCCCTGGGACATCCAGGTGTGTCCTTTTCTCCCCCTCAGTGAGGGCTGGTCTAGGAGAGAGTCTGGGCAAAGCTGGGTTAGGTAAGCCTGCCCTCAGGCACCACCAATGTCATTAGCAGGGGTCAAAGTTCTGTTCTCTGCTTCCAGGGAAAGCTGCCAAGGAGGGGCTGGAATGGCCCCACTCAGTCAGAAAATCTGCATGTGGGGTGGGGCTGTCAGAGACCTGCAGTCTGGAGCGGGCCTCTCTTCTTTCCACCCTCCCCAACTCTGCGGCTACTCCTGGGCCTCTGCCAGCAGGCCAGACCACACACCACTAGGCCTCCCCTGACTGTGATGCCAGCGGGGAGGTTCCCTGCGCAGGAACGCCACCTGAGCTGGGTGCCCGGCCTCCCTTTGGGGGGAGGGTTGCCCTCTAGGACGCTGATCTGCCCCCAAAGGCACACACACCTCAGTAGGCTCTTCACATATATCCCTTCTGTGCCCCGGGCAATGCGAGACCTCCGTGCAAAGGATCTGATCTGCATGTCTGACCTCTGGGCCTCAGAGTTCAAACTATATCCCCACCAGGGAGAGGAGTGCCAGTCTCAATTCACCCACAGGGAGCCCAAGCTGGGTCTATGTCTCTCAGCCTCAGAGTCTGTCCCGTTCTCCTGGGATCACCGTGCCAGCAGCACCTGGGAAGGCTGGTGGGTCAGGAACTCACAGTCTGAGGTCCCCTTAGTCAGCTGTAGGGCCCCAAAAGGGAAGGTCCCGTTCTCTGGAGGTGCCTCTGGCTGGTGGCTATATTGTCTCTCTGGTCAGCCACGGATAGGGTGGGGGGGGAGGGAGAATGAGGCAATATGGTGCCTGCCATGTGGCTCAGGTCTGTGCACACGGAGGTGCCCCACGGGGTTTGGGAGCCTGGTGCCACATCCGCTACTGGCTTACTGCTCGCTGGCGGCGGCGGTCTCTGGGCTGGTGTCCACAGGTCTGTCCACCCGCTGGGGAGCCCACCAGCAGTCGGAGATGCAAGGGAGGGGAAACTTGGCCTACCCTTCTCGATCGCTGGTCTCTGGGCTGCTCTGGTGGTCTCAGCTTCCAGTTCTCCTCCACAACCTCTTCCTGTGGTCTCAGGTACCCCTCCTTCCC